GTTTTTCTTCAAAACAGGCCTTGGTATGAATGTCTCCCTGCACTGAGGGCAGCTGTGGATTCGTTTCTGATCCTCTCCATCCCAGTGAGCTTTAATGCAGGTCATACAGTAGCTGTGTCCACAGGGAGTCGTCACCGGATCCGTCAGTAGATCCAGACAGATGGAACAGGAGAATGTCTCTCGGTAGAAATGATTCTGCTCCATTTCTGCTCTCAGTCACAGTGACTGTCTGAGTTTCTCCTTCCTGGTATCAGAAACTGTTTTAATTGAGTCTTAGTCTCATGTTTCAGTGCAGAGAGGCTGCAGCCAATCAGGTTTTACCCACAGCTTATCTTGGTTACGCCCAGCCTCAAAGTTCAGATCATCAAAATAATCCTGCCAATGTTAGACCCAAAGTTGTATCAGACCATGAGGTTTATCTTAGGTAAAAACAATAATGGATACAAATGGGCCCAACTGTTCATGAGAAATATACTGAATAAAGGAAACATGATTGTAAAGTAATATTATTAAAGAACATGATTAAATATTACCATTTATGCACATGCACTCCTGGATTTCCAGATTTTTTTAGATTGTGTCTCTCACTGTGGACATGAACCTGAGGTGAAAATTTCAAACCCTCCATGATTTCTAAGTGGGAGAACTTGCAAAGTAGCAGGATATTCAAATACTTACTTTCCTCTTTGTGTTCTGGAAAATTCTAGTTTAAAGTATGATTATTCTTGCAGCTAAGTTTAACTGAACTGTGCAACATAGAGGTGCAATTTTATTTACATTTAACATATAATTGCAGCATTGTTAAAAAAAGACTTGAAATTAAAAGTTTCAGACTTTGGACATGAGAATAAAGACTTGAGTCTTCACTGAGTTTTGCAAAACAGTGACTTGGTCCGACCTCTGAAACAAACACAAGTGTCTTGCGCTAATGGAGGAATGTCTTGTGGACTTTTACCAAACACAAAAAGAAACTGGTCCTACTGATGCTCCTTCATTTGTTTAGTTTTTGTGAGGAAGGAGGTTGTGCTCAGTGTTCTTCAGAAGTTTTTGTGTTGTTACCTTCAGTGGTTCCTGGTGTAGCGCCACCACAGGTGAGGAGGTTAACAGGTTCTTCAATGTGATTGGTTTGTTTGACACAATGCAGTCTGAAAATTAACCAAATGTTTCAGTTTATGTTCCCAATCAAACCGAGTCTGCTGGACTACCAGGTGTTAAAACACCCTAAGGATAATAACTATGTACAACAAAATACTTAGATGAAACAGAATCACAAATGATTTTGGTGAAATGTTTCTGTGAAGGGTAAAAGCTCAGAAATATCGAGGTGTGGAGAAAATTCAACTGGAAAAATTTAGATTTTTTTTTCATAACCCTGAAGATTAGGAAGAAGATTTGTGTCCAGTCTGTGGTCAAATGGTGAATGATAGTGCATCATAAATGCAAACAAAGATTAATTTCCAGTTCGATTCTTAGACTGACAGATCCTTTGTAAGTGTTTTGTTCATTCTTTTTGGACAAACATCATATTGTGTTTGATAATCAGGCTCCATATAAATCCCCCCTGTTTCCATTCATTTCATTGAATATATGAGAAACTTGAAAATAATAGAAAATAGGATTTTAATCTGTCTATAATCTTGGTGTCTTTTCTCTGACAAACCTTCAAATTAACATGCTAAAGGAAATATTTAAGGACCCTGTGAGTCAGAGAGGGACTCACAGGTTAATAAAGCTGTAATTATCTGCAGCATAGAGAGCAGGATTACAGTAAATGGCATCTTTTCTGACAGAAAATCACATGAGTAAGTCACCAGTCGTTCTTCAGGATAAACTGGTTTAACCAACCACTCCATTCTCTTTGACTGAGACATGCAGGGTAACTCATAGAGTGCATTCACATCAGACCTGCTTAGTCCACTTTGAACTGGAGTTAATTTGGGTGCAAACCATTTGGTCTGGTTTGTTTGTAGGTGTGTGAATCAAACATCTCTCTAAAAGTCATTTGGCTTGTCAAATCTCTATCCAGTTTGAAGGTGTCCATTTTGGAGGAAGGGGCTCCTTTTTCTTTGGTGGTGCTTGGTGGACTCCCCTTCTTACCAACCAGCTCCCTTTCATCTAACATTGATAGTTTGGCTCTTTTTCCTGATGGTCACACATGTGAATAATCTGGTGATGCTTCAGTGTCCAAATGGCTCCAGACTTACCAAGCATGTGTCCAGTTCTCTTTCTTAGACCACCCCATTGTTCTTGGTTGATTGTTTAATCCAGTCAATGAGAAAGCAGCTTGGTTTTTACTGGGGTTGCACTGATTTATTTGTGCTGATTTCCTTAAATTTGGGAGATTGGTGATCGGCCGATTTTTACCTACGAAGCTTTTCTTATCCACTGATCTCATCTAGCTTGGCAAAGGTCTAAGAATCCACCACTGTCCTCTTTTTCTCTCCGGTGAGAAAGGTTTGATTGACAGACCTGCCCACCAAGTTATGCCTGCACGTTTTCAATTAACAAAAGTGACCCCAGTGTTGCCAACTCAACAACTCTCTTGCTATACTGAGCAACATTTCAGACAAAAAAATTGGTATCGGCTAAAATCGGAATCGGGAGGTTTAGCTTTTTAAAAGATCAGAATCAGCGATCGTCCAGAAAACTGCAGTCAGTGCACCCCTAGAATGTGTGAATGTATTTGTACTTGGACGTATAAAGTCACCCAGTTATTAATTGTAATGCCCGTGTTGAGTGGTGTTGATTTTATCACGTTGATGTGGTTCTTCCTTCTGCACCTCCACCTCTCTGGCGTCTCGTGTGACTTCAGCCGTTTTTCTGACTGAGTCGCTGGATTTCTGTCCGCCTCGTCTCTCTTCACAGCTAATCTGACGGAAACTGAACGTCCAGCAGCTTCTGCGCTCTAATTGTGTTCAGTGAGCTGCGAGACTCTCGGCTCAGCAAACAGCAGTCGCTCGGCATCAGCAGAAGGCCTCACAGGTTTGGTGCTCGTTTTCGTCTCTCCTGGGTTTTATCGTCTCCTCCGCTGTTCTTATCGGTTAACTTAGCTGAGTTTGAAGTTTTTTTTGTTTGCTTTTCCAGCTTGTAGGAGTCAGAATTACAGATATGTGTTTTTGTTGCATCAGATAATTTTGTTTTAACCTCTGACTGACTTTGTTTTTCAAAGAAAACAACCAAATGGGTTCATTGGCACTCAATGAAAATCCTGTAACTCCTCCTCCACCTGCGAAGAGCCTCTGAAATGCCATCCTGCAGGAAGTTTAAATACCTTAAACAGGTTTGATCTGATCAGACTCGACACTCTCTCGATCGACAAGTACATCAGAGACTACAGCTGAAACCACCTGCCGTACCGTAAGTGCAAGTGTTTTAGAATAAATGTAACATAGAAACCAAACTCCTGCTCAGTAGGGTTACTGGTGGATTAATAATTTTTAATTTTTGGTTTGAACCTTTGATTTACATGTAAATTTGGGAATTTTGTTGAATATATAGTTCAATAGTTAGTAAATAGTTGGAGGAAAAGAGAAACATAGACATAAATTTCACAATATATGAACGTAATGTTGGGTTTGTCCTGATTTTGTAATATATTGGAAATGTTCACATATGCTGATGACACACTGACTTATATTAGAGCCCACAGGCTGGTGTTCGCTGTCTGTTGCTTTTAATCCTGTTCAGTTAAACTTCTGAGACAGAAAATCAGTTTCAAACTCTGAGTAAACAAACCCTGTTTATTTCAACATCTAAACTTTTCTCGCACAGATTTATGTTGTATCTTAAGTATCTTTTATTTTTGTTTATTTTGACCTGATTGGACTATGAGGCGTCCCACCAGAGTCCTGACCTAAATCTGAGAAAAACTGCTAAAAATTATGACAAGGAAGCCTTCCAGGCTCAAAACTTAAAGCTACTTATAAGGATCTGACAGATTTAATGCAAATTAACAGTTTTCTTTTGAATATTAGTAAGAAGTTAAATTATTTTCCACATCCAATTTTTATTTAAAATATGAATAAAAACAGAGACTGTGAATGTTTGTCACTTTATAGATGTGATTCTTTCTGTCTGTGGAAAATTTTCTGAAGTTTTTATTTTACAAATATGTTCTTTGTCTTTTCAGACCAAAACGAGGCTTGAAGTCAATAAATTGTTGGATTTTATGTTGTTTTGTGATTTATGTGCATGTCTTCCCCCCCCCTGTAAAACAGTTCATTTAGATTTATGCCTTACAAAAGCTGATTTTAACTCCTCTGAATAAAATCCAATTATCTTCAGGAGAAACCATAGCAGCAGCTAAATGTGGTTGTATGAAGTTGAATACAAATGCATGCCACACTTTTCAGATTTTTTAATTTATATTTTCATAAAATACGTATAATTGTTCTGTAGAAATATGCACCATTTTATAATGATCTGTCTGTTGAACGTTTTTTTGGTTATAGTGACACAAATTGGCTGAATTTTATGCTTAGAATTACTCATAAAAATTAAGAATATGTCTATTTAAATATCTCTGGAGGGGTTTCTCAGTGAATTGGAAGCAAAAATATGTTTGTGATTAATTTAATTTGATGAAAATAAAAATGATCCATGTGTTTGTGTGATCCATGTTGTGAAATAAAGAAGCTGATTGGAGGAATTGGTGTAAAAATGTGTTGGTGAAACGTTTGTGGCTGCAGGAAACCATGGCGTCTGTGTCCAGCAGCTCTCTGCTCAACAAGGCGGTCCGGCAGCAGTACATGGGCCTGTGTCAGGGCGGGAAGTGCCAGGTCACCTACATCTGGGTGGACGGCACCGGAGAGGGGCTGCGCAACAAGACCAGGACCCTGGACTCAGAACCCACCTGCATCGAAGGTGAACATACAAATAAAGTGATCTTATTAATAAAACGGCCTCTTTAAGAAAAGCAAATATGTTAAATACGGGCTGGAAGTGATGAAGATAAATAAAAATGATAAACATTAATTAACTCATTAAGGTCTTCCTGTACGATAATTATATGATATTTATTACAATTACAAAAATGTATTTAAATAAATTATTAGGCAAGTTATGACAGCATATGTGCATATTTTAAAAGATATCTCAAAAATATTAATAATTCACATATATAACGTAATATAATTACATTATATTAATATAATGTAATATTATATTAATATAATATTAATATAATATTACATTATATTAATATAATGTAATATTAAATTAATATAATATTAATATAAAAACACTGTCAATATTAATCTTTCTAAATTATAAAGCTTGATAATTGTTTAATTTAGAAGAGTTGGAAGAAATTATTAAAATAAAAATAATAAAATCAAATCATAAATAATCGTAAAAAATAACAGCTAAAACCAAAGCTAGTCATTGTTCGCTAGCAGCTTTTTGCCCTGCAGCAGGGTGATGGGGGCGTAACGCTTTTCTCCTCTCCTCATCAGAAATCCCAGAGTGGAACTTCGACGGGTCGAGCACCTACCAGGCCGAAGGCTCCAACAGCGACATGTACCTCATCCCAGTCCGCATGTTCAGGGATCCCTTCACCCTTGACCCCAACAAACTCGTCCTCTGTGAAGTCCTCAAATACAACCGCCTTCCTGCCGGTACGTCCACCTCCGCTTACATTTGGAGAAACGAGTTGTGCTGCGTTTCATTCGGCTCCTTCTCCTCCAGAAACCAACCATCGCCACAGCTGCAACCAAGTGATGCAGCAGGTGAAGGAGCACTGCTTGTGGTTCGGCATGGAGCAGGAGTACACCCTGCTGGGGGTAGACGGGCATCCGTTCAGCTGGCCTTCAAAAGGGTTCCCAGCACCACAAGGTGAAGCAGCGCTCCAGAGAGCTGCAGGGAAAAATATTCACAATTTACATTTATTTTACTGGGATTTCATCATGTTTTAGGTTAAAATGTGTTTATTTTATGGTTAGAGTAAATTATAAAGTCAAAGTTCCTCTTTTATTTTGAAGAACAAAGAAAAGCTTAAAATTTGCACATTAAACAGAAGTGAGTAGAGGGATAAGTAAAAATAGAAAGTATTTGGTGAAACGTCTATTCAGGTACTAACTGATCAAATTATCAATCATTTAATATTTAAAATTTACATAAACTGACAGACCAAAATACAAAGTTAAGTGGATTTTTTATTTATTTTAAAGACTAAAATGATGATAATTCATATAAATAACTAAATCAGGCAAAATAAAATTTTCCCAAATCAGTTTATTTTAGTAAAAAACTTCAGAAACTTAAAATAAAACTGCAGGTGTGTGTCTGTGTCTGGTGGAGTTTTGGTTAAAACAGTTATTGTTTGTCATTCAGTGGGTAGAAAATCTTAAGACGTTACAGAGTACAGATACTTTAAAATAAAATTACCCAAACTACAGCGTAGTAAAAGTACTCCTAAAAGTATTTTTTTTTCTAAAAAGTTACTCAAGTAAATGTAACTAGTTACTGCCCAACTCTGGAACTATGTTATTTTTTAAAATCAGTGCATCTGATTTGTTTCACATTCACATCTCTCTAAAACGAAACGGTCAAAGCAGGTACCTCATGATTTTCTACAGTTAAAGAAACAAACTTTCCAACATTCCCGATGTTACAAGAAAGGAAAAAATAAACCAAATAAATATTTTTCCATTTTGAGCCACTTTAGTTTTACAGATTTAGTTTTTCCTCCACCTTAAGGCCCGTATTACTGCGGCGTCGGAGCGAACCACGCGTACGGACGGGACGTGGTGGAGTGCCACTACAAAGCCTGCCTCTACGCCGGCATCCAGATCTGCGGCACCAACGCTGAAGTCATGCCGTCTCAGGTAGATCAGCAGCCTGTAGAAACAACCAAACTGAATCATCGAAATGGTTCCTTTAACTCAGGGGTGTCCAAAGTGCAGCGCGTGGGCCTTTTGTGGCCCTTGGATTGATTTTGTGCGGCCTCCCGCTACAATTCAAAAATGATACCAACTGATGTAGATGGAGACTGTTAATTTGTAATAAGGGTAAAATTATTATTGAGATCATTTTCTTACAATGGAAAATGTAAAGAAGAACAAAACGTGTTTGTGTTTTTATAAGCAGCCATGTTTACCAAGACACTTTTACTGAAAAGATGGCTTTGACGTCCCCACATCAGGTTTAATTTAATTTATTAAACTTGACTAAGTATAGAAAACATTTTAAAAGAAAGTGACCCAAATCCTGTTCTTGTTTCTGAAAATACATTTTTTCAGTCGAGCCCAAAAGAAACTGAAAATGTGCAAAATTTATGACGGTGCATAAGAAAAAAGGAGGAGAAAGTTTCCAGCTCAAAAACCCGGAAATTTTGAGATTAAGCTCAGAAACCTACAAAAACTTTCAAACTCAGAAAATTTCTAAAATGTGAACATTCTTGACATTTTTCTATAAAACGTCTGAGATTTTTCAGCTGTTCAAATTCACAAATGTTTTTGACATTTTTTCTAGAAAATTTGAGAAAATTTCAGATTTTTTTTTCTAGCAAATTTCTAACTTTTCAAACTCTGAAAAATTCCCAATTTTTTCCCCAGAGCATTTCTGAATTTGTGGGAAAAAAAAACTTTTTTTTGTTTTGTTTTTTAAATCTACATAGGCCCTAATTCACCAATCTAAAAATCCCCTTCAGGTTTTGAATGTACAATAATAGATTTTAGGTTGTTGGTGTTTTTTGGCACTACTTTCACTGTTTTGGACACTCCTGCTGTAACATGACTGTCTCCCTGTCCAGTGGGAGTTCCAGGTGGGTCCCTGTAAAGGCATTGAGATGGGCGACCATCTTTGGGTGGCGCGCTTCCTGCTGCATCGTGTGTGTGAAGACTTTGGGGTCGTCGCCACCCTGGACCCCAAGCCGATAACAGGCAACTGGAACGGCGCAGGCTGCCACACCAACGTCAGCACCCAGCAGATGAGGGAAGAAGAAGGACTGAAGTGAGTAGATATTTATAAATACATGATTTTTATTTGCTTCATCATAAAGCTAAATATCCCTTCATTGTAACAAAAATGGGTTCATGTGGGGTTTGGAATTGATTAAAGTGGTGTATTTGCTTATAAAGAGCTGTAAAAACACAAAATCTTACAAACTATTTTTAGTCTAGTTTCTAATGCAAATATCTTAGTACACTTAAAATTAGACAAATCTAACTTACAGATAGCTTTTCAGCAAGAAATAGGAGATTTTCTGTCAATAATTCCTTAATATTAATGAAAAAGTTCTAGTTCCATTGGTAGACTATTTCACTGAGCCGTTACCTAGCAACCCCAGCCAAGCCCAGCCTGTGACCTAGCAACCCCAGCCAAGCCCAGCCTGTCACCTAGCAACCCCAACCTGTCACCTAGCAACCCAGTTCTAGTTCCATTGGCAGATTATTTCACAAGACATTTTTTTATTTAAATGTGCTTAAAGTAGGTTATTACTTTAGATCTATGCAGAATTTTAATTTAATTAGCATGAACCCCTTTTAAAAGCGCAAACATCTTCAATTCCGACTTAAAAATAATGAGTCGAGCTCTTTCTTCTCTCCCTCTCCTGACAGGTACATTGAGCTGGCCATTGAGAAGCTGGGCAAAAAGCACAAGCAGCACATCGAGGTGTACGACCCGCGCGGCGGAACGGACAACATGCGGCGCCTCACCGGTCTGCACGAAACCTCCAGCATCAACGACTTCTCCGCTGGCGTGGCCAACCGCGGCGCCAGCATCCGCATCCCGCGGCAGGTGGGCAAGGACAAGCGGGGCTACTTTGAGGACCGCCGCCCTGCAGCTAACTGCGACCCCTACACCGTTACCATGGCAATCGCTCAAACCTGCCTCCTCGATCCAACGGAAGAATAGAGCAAGATAGAGGAGTTAGCTTAGGCTGCTTTCACACTGCAGAGTGAAGGGAGATAAATGTGATTGTTTTTTACTTACGGGTGTTCAAAGTGCCGTCATTTTGTGTGGCCCCCATCTGCATTTAAAAAATTATACAAATTTGGCTGATAGATGCAGAAAAGGGGTAAAAAGGGTAAAATGATTAATGAATTAATTTTATTACAATGGAGAATGTAAAGTAAAACACAAAGTGTTTCTGTTTTATAACAAACCATGTTTACCCACAGACTTTTACTGAAAAGACGACCAAATTAGCTTTAATTTAATTTAGTAATGCATGATAAACCCACCTCAACATCAGTATCGGCCAATATCAGTCTTTTTTTTTTTAACATATTGGTATCGGTCTGAGTAATAAACAACCAACATTTATCTTTTATCCATTTCTGGTTGGGAGTTTTTTTTCAAAGGTGTCGGAACAAAAGTGAAATGTAAATACTATCAGTTATCAACCACAAAAGAAATATTGATATCGGATATCAATATCGGCCCAAACTTTTGTATCGGTACATTCGTAATTTAATTTATTGAACTTGACTAAATATAGCAAATATTTTGGGAAAAAAAATCACCCAAATCCTGTTCTTATCACTGAAAATAAATATATTTAATCAAGCCAAAAAGAAACAGAAAGTTAGATGCTTTAAGTACAGCAGACATGAAAAATCTACAATATTGTATTCGAAAAAAGAAAAAAGGAGGAGTACGTTTCCAAAACAAAACCTCTGAAATTTTGAGTAATCTCAGAATTTCTGAATTTTTTCTAGCAAATTTTAAACTTTTCAAACTGAAAAGTTTCCTCTGTTTTTTGGTTTTTTGAAGAATGTTTATGAAAATTTACTCCTTTTTTTGTTTGTTTTTTAAAATACAACCGTAATACGCCTTCGTAAAAATCTCTAGTTTTGGATCTATAATAAATATCCATTTTGAAAAAAAAATCTGACTATTTTATTTGCTTAATTTTAGGTTGCTGGGCTTTTTTTTAGATAAAGCTTTTAATGTTGATTTGTCACATAAAATACCATTAAAATGAATTGAATTTTATTATAATATGATAAAATCTGAAAAAACTAAAAGCTGAGAATATATTTAGAAAGTTCTGTCAGCCAAAGAACACTAAATATGTTTAACCTGACCCCAAATAGACAACAACAGTGAAAAAGAGGCATATAATGAATATGAAACAATAGCAAATGTCATCCAAACGCAATGAAAAAACTTAATGGTGGCAAAAATGCACAAAAATCCAACAGAATCTATAGAATAATAAGAAGAAAACAAACGCACTAGTCAAACATGAAGCATGCAAAATAACTAAAACAGATGCAAATGATTAATAAAGAGGATCTGAAAACAAAGATGCAAATCAAATGAGCTGTAAAGTGGATTTGAATGGACACAATGAGAAACAAACACATGAGAACGAGTAGAAATGTAAACAGAATTAGATTTATTCATTGTTTTAGTGTCTCTTCAGGTGTCTTTACCTCACAATCCGTCCGGGCCTGTGAGCCATTTTTGTTTTAAATGTAAATGTAATCATAGAAGAGCTTGAATTAGACATTTGTGTTTGTATCACTGTCACAAAATAAGTGTCTGCATATTAAACTTCACGTTTTCCTGTCTGAAGTGGATTAAAAGTGAAAGAATTATTATTTAGTTTCTTTGTCTCTGTACAAAACAAAAAGAATCCATAAAAAGTCTGGTTGAAGTTGTTTTCCCAGCGTTGGATACTCCAAATGTTCTGGAGTACGGGGAAAAAAACGAACTGCATGCTTCATCTCACACAATATAATAAAAGCAAGTAAAAGAATCAAAGTTCAGAGCTCAGTTTGATCAATTTGGAGGCTAAGAAACATTTTAAAAATATATAAGTTACATTACCTTTACAAATAAAATTCCAGTTCCCACTCTCCAAGAAACATCCTGCCTCAATAAAGATGAAACCATTTTAGCCAGTAAACAAACTGGTGAGACGTGATTGGAAAATGTATGGAGCTAAATAATGGACAATACTTAAAACAAAAAAAAAAAAAAACAACTTAAAGTTTAAAGTCCAGACACGTTAAAGTTTGTGTTTGGAAAAGGTTTCCAGTGAGAAAATTACTTACTTAGTAGTATTCAATTCCTTCAGTTGTACACTAGATGGCGGTGTTGGATTTTCTCTCATAGCCCACAAATTACCACTAAATGGACCTATAAATTAGTCAGTAATACCTGGAAAGAGCCAAAACTGTTCCTGTTCCCATAAACAGGAATGCTTCACAGTCAAAAGCATCAAAACATAGAAAAGAAAACTCTTGGTATCGAGTTTTCAGAGACGTAATGAATGAATGAGATAATCTAATCTTGATCATTGATCCACGTCAGAGTGATGAATGGGAATGCTAACATTTTACCTCACTGGTAGCCTCACGGCATCAACACAATTTGCTACTCAGTCTGTTTCAGGAAAATGTTTTCAGTAAGTAAACATTAAAAAAGAATCTCATGGCAATTAAAATGATTCCTAGGATTAGATTAGTGGATAACAGACACCACATTTTCATGGATTTAGCTTGCTTGAGTTTTCATCTCTGAAAGCAGGAAGTATAACCAGACAGGAAGCCTTCAGACAGAAAAATAGACTTTTTAGGTACTTTTGAGTTTTTGTGGTAAAATTTTTGATTGTTGTAATTATGAGTATTGCCAATTTAATTAAGCAAACTAAATTAAATAGTTACTTTAGTATTTGAAAATGAAATCATCAAATTTAGGAGGGTGTTCACAGGGTTGATTGACAGCAGTAAGATCATTGAAAGAACTGATTTGGAAAAATTTTCTTTTGCCTGATTTTATTTTTTATTTATTTATATGAATTATTGTTATTTTTTACCCCTAAATACACACATTAAATATTAAATGATGTGTAATTTGATTGGTTGATCAGTAATTCAGTTTACCAAATACTTTTTTTTCCTTGAGTAATTTCTTGTTGGCTACTTTTTTCTTTTACTTGAGTAAAAATTTTGTAAAATTTTAACATAATTTAGCAGTAGCAGCTTCAATAAAAAAACAATCCATTTCAGTATACCGGTAGCCCTTTTAGTGCGATGTATCTTTAGATGTTTTTGGTACCAACTTTATCATGCTACACGTTTAGCTGTTAGCACGCTAAGAATCACCTTTTTGCTGCCAAAATGCTGTTTTATGTGTGTAAATATTTGATTTATTCAGTATCTATTTTATTATTATAACTTTTCAAAACAGTTTAAGGTACATGAACGGGACTGTGGTTCGTAAGTTTGAGGTTTTAGGGAAAATATTGGTAAAAAATTAGCATGCGTTGTTAGCGGGCGCGGTGACGTCACGGGTTGCCATGGCGGGAGGGTGGGCTCGCGGCGCAGCAGCAGGTGAGAGTGGAGCGGCGCCTCAGTCAGACGCGGAACAGAGGAGTACCGGAGCGGAGCTATGGGAAAGCTACAGGAATTTGACATCACTTTAGCCAACAACAAGGTGGTTTACGGTCCGGGGGAGTCCATTAGCGGAACTGTGAAAATCCGAACCGGCAGCCCTCTGCAGTACAAAGGTAACGGGTTCGTTTTGTAGCAACAAACAGGAGAGACAGGAAGAAGGTTTTTAACATGTCTGGTCAGCGGGTCCTCTCTCTTTCCTCCGCCTGGTTCGGGGTTTGGATGTAGCTTAAACTTTTCCCACTGTGATTAAAAATTCACGAGGCGTTTATTTAACGTTTTAGTTGTCGGTGGGTGGGCATCACGCATTGTTGCGGTGCTGCCGTTTTTCCCCCTCAATGAGACACGACAACCCGCCGCAGGCTGCTTGATTGTTTTGGGTTACTTCTGCCATCCTGAGCCACATCCTGCTTGTTCTGACATGCTGCTTCCTCATGTCTGCTGCTTGTAAACTCTAAGAAGAAGAAAAAGCAAAAAACACGACCAACAACAGGTGTCCACGCGTTTAAAAATCGTATTTTTACCGCATTTGACAGTGTGTAAATATTGCTGCATCGTATTTAAAAGTAAGTAAGTAAGTGTAGGAGAGAACAACGAGTCCATTGTATGCAAGTAGTCCTTGTGGGATTTCTCCTCTAACGATAACAAAGGCTGCTGTCTTTATCTCAGGGGTGTTCAAAGTGCGGTCCGGTGGCCATTTGCGGCACTTGGACTGATTTTCTGCGGCCTCCCGCTGCAGTTCAAAAATGATGCAAATTTGACCTGTAGATGCAAATCGAGACTTTTGATTTGTAGTTTTCTTACAGTGGAAAGTGGAAAGTACAATACAAAAGGTTTAGCCAGTAACTTTTATTGAAAAGACGGCCAAATCAGCTTTGATTGACTTTATTAAACTCGAGTAAATATAGCTAACGTTTTGAAAGAAAGTGACTCACATCCTGTTCTTATTACTTAAAATACTCAACTGAGAAACGGAAAACTTGATGCTTTTCTTTAAACATAGCAAACAATAATATTGATTTTTGTGATTATTTCCAACTAATAAGATGATAATAATACAAGTAAACTCTCTCAAACTTTAATTTCTAATTAACATTAAAACTGGAATTGGATTTCTAAATATCCATTATAAACAAAACGGCAAATAAAATTTTCTTTAAAACTTTTTAAACTGAGTAATAATCATGTATAAGCTTATAGCAATACTTATTATTGTTATTATATTAATAATAAGAATATTACACTATTGTCTAATATATATGTATAAAACTTAGTTAAAAGATTAAATTATTGGGTTATTTATGTCTCTCGATTGTCATTGTAACTTCAAATGTGTTACTAGAAAAGAAAATGCAGAAATTTCCATGAAACCTTGGTGAATGTGCTGCCTTCTCAATGTCTAGAATGAATGCACCAGTTAATTAATGTCACAATAAGTTATTTTGGAAATTATTTGCATGCGTTGCACTTGAATGCTGCAGCAAAGCATTCCTTTGTAACCGCATTATTTCACAGATTGATGGATGGTGGAGCTCTTATCGCTAAGGTGAATGTGTGGAGTTGGGTAACCATTACTGGGACTTCAACTGGAAATACAGCAAACACTCTAGATGGGTTTGGCAAAAAACAAATAAAAACCAAAGGTGAATATGTGGATATCAACTCAGGCTGACTGTTGAGTACAGTGGAGGATCTGTGATGCTGTGGGCCTGTTTTCTCTTCTTTGAAATACCAGGACAAACAAAAGGTTTGATGTAAAATAATAGTGAGATTATACAACTGGGGTTAAAAGTAGTTTATCTTTAGTCGTTTTATCCATATTCTCAAATTTGTTTCTGATTTACTCCAACTTGCTTCTTTTCATGTTAGTGTGGATCAGTTTTAAATCTTTCACTCCAGAGCCAAAGTGCTCTGTCTAAAGAGCCAGCTGGGCTTTCAGGTCTGTCCGATAATGTTCTGTAAACGCCACGGCTGCATTCTGTCCGATCTGACGTCGCCATTATCCATCAGTAGCAAAGTGTGCAGGTCTGCCTTCCATAAAGATCCAGCTGATAAGGCATAATTACACACACACCTTTTCTTACAGTAAGTCAGGCTGAGGTTGTCTTGTTTTATGTCAGGTAGCGTTTCCTTATTCAATTTTTAGAGATATTTAAAAAAAAAATCACAGGTTTACATCTGTATTTGGCTTTGGTCGAGTTTTTTTTTTTTTGTATTTCCATAAGCTTCTTATTATAGTTTTCTGTAGTTTTGGACCATTCCCATTGGTAGGACTGGTGTAACTGGACCAGTTACACCAGTCCTAACATGAACTCAGAGACCCCTTAAGCTACGTTTTAACGAGCCTTTTAACGTTTTAAAAAGCCAGGGTTTAAAGTTTAATCCACTTTAATTGAACCCCAGTTTGTTTATCTAGAAAGTCCAGTTCGTCTGAAGCGGTGTGAACGCAAAATTGGACCAAACAACTGAACTCTGGTCTCGGTTCTGTTGAAGTGAAGTCTGATACGGTTTGAATGGATAGTGAACGCCAAGCGGACTAGAAACGGTTCCAAAGTCAGGAAGCGAACTACGACGCAGGGCATTATGGTTAATTACAACCAAAACAAACATGCTAACTAGCACTAGCATTAAAAAAATGGGTGGTTGTTTTGTTTACCAAAGACAAAAGAGAAATCCTGCAACCACTAAAATCTGACGGCACTCCATTTTTGTTTACATTTGTGAAGAAGGAAGTTCCATACATTGTCTTCTTCAGTGGTTCTTGGTGCAGCGCCCCCACAGGCGAGGAGGGGAACAGCTTTTTCAAGGGGTTCGTTTGACACCAGCTGAAAATGTAATAAAATGTTGCAACTTTGGTGTCCAATCAAACCGACTCTACTTGACTATCAGGTGCGAAAACACCATAAATGAACTCTCTTATGAGGATTTACATTATTTAATTTTCAGCTACTATAGCAGAAAATTGCAATCATATTATCAATTATTGATTTTTCCTTCTGTGCCTTTAGACTGCTCTATAATTGTTTAGCTTGTCAGCCATTACAGATTGTCTTTGTTCATTAAGTTTAGCTAGAAACCTTCCAACTGGCTGAAAATTTGATCGATGTGCAAAATGTGAATGCCTGAAAATTCCTACCAAATATTACATCCAAGCAGCTTTTTGAGATTGAGATATTTTATGGCAACAACTAATGTGATTTAATGCCTTTTCAAGCTTTAATTAGGGTCCATTTCGAAGTTTCAGGTTGGTTCTTCACCACTCCGTCTTGCATCACAACACCTTCACATGATGCTGCCACCACCGTACTTCACCTGTGGGATGATGTTCTCAGGCTTGAAAGCTTCCCCCCCTTTTAAACCAAATTTAACGACAGTCAATATGGCTGAAAACTTTAAACTTTAGCTTCAGAAATGTCTCTGAGTTCATGTTGCTTCTTCCTCCCTGAGCGCCATTTCAGCCCATGTTGGTAAAAACCATGTTTCACCCTGAATTATGTCTGTTTTTTTAAATAATTGATCCGTGTTTTGGTGTTTCTGTATCTCTGCAGTGAGAATTCACTCTGGATCGCTCCTTACATAGACTGGAGAACATTTTAGCATCATATTTATTTACACTACAGTGAGTCTTACCATGTTGCATGATGAAATAAATACAGGTGGATATTAATAAGAAAGTGCAGCTTCTTAAAGTGCTGAATGTTTCCGATGCGCCGCTCTCAGCCTGTCTCCATTATTGATGATGGAAACCATTAGAAAGCATTTCTATTGATTAGCTCCTTCATAAAAACATCACAGCAGAGCCTTGAGTCTGCTGTGACAAAAGACGGCGAATAGTTCAGGATGTTTTTAAAAAGACGTTTTGATGAACTTTCTCTGTTTTGAGCGAACAGAAAGCGGTTGGGAAACAGCATAAAACCTCCACGATCAGCGCCCTGCCTTTGTGACTGGAGCTGGTAAAAACGCAGCGTTTCATTGAGAAACAGAGGAAGTGAGTCAGGCATGAAGCTGCAGCTCGTTCTCTGTGTCATGGAAAGATACAGTTGTTGTTCAGGGAGTTTATGACCCCTAACGCGCTGTAAAACCGAGCTGTCGGTCAATGTTGATCAAAAGGATTCAGCGTTTGTTTATCCAAAGCCCACACAGGACATTGGAGACTGATATTTTAATAATAATGTATTGAGAATAGAGGGAAACGCATCAGGAAGGAACTTTGTATCTTTGTGACGTATTTTTCCTAAAGGAAACATGTATTATTCCTATATTGAAGCTTTTATTGCTTATAGAGGTGTACAATATGAACTTAAAGGTTTATAACAACAAAAACTAATGATAAAAAGTATCTAAAAACCTTTTCCAGTCTTTTTTGGCATTAGGTTTTATGGGCATAAACACAAATACCCGCTGTACTAAAGATAAACCTCGCCAAAATAAAACTATTTAAAGGTGACTGAATAGTGCAGCAGTCTGATTTATCACAGAATAATTTCATTTAATTATATTTTTAAAATTATATTTATTGGTTCTGTTATGGAGCCAACCGTGTAAAAAAAAAAATCCCAATAACACATTAAAATCTGGAGTTTATTGTTGTCAGGATGAATCTAAATTCTTATAAATATAAAAAATATTTCTAATGATTAAAATAATTCTTTTAGGGATCACAACTGACATTTCCTGACATTTCCTGTAGAATATTGTAAATCTATGAACAGTGAATCAAACCCAGCTGGCGTGTTTGTCGTTGATAAGCTAACACTTAGCCTCTTGTAGTCCAGAAAGGTTTATTTGTGTAGCAGATTTCAGCAACAAGGCAGCTTGAAATGCTTTACATGACAGAAATATAACAGAATTTACAAAGAAAAAAAATCACAATGTTAAATTGAAGAGACAAGTAACAATGGTTTCCATCCAGACTGAAGAAAATGATGATCCAGTCACTAAAGGCAATTTTAGCGTCAGTGTTTCAGCAAGTAACTCAACAGATCGTTGCTAGGCAACCAAAGAGTGAGTTAGTTGCTAGGTAACCAAAGAGTGAGAGAGTTGGTTGATTCCACCAACCTAGCTTAGCGGATGTTGGATTGAGCGGCTAAAGCCTTTTCTCTGCCTACATTTCCCA